CTGGGAGTTGAAGTCCACTCATCTTAAAGTGGCCAAGTTTGGACAACACTGCTTTAGACAGATGAAGCAAATGCTCCAGGAGGGAACTTAAAAGTAGCAGGCAAATGAGGATGCCTCCCCTTTCACTCCCAGCAGCTTCCTCCCACCCAGCCAGAAGGGTAGGAACAACAAAGTGAATGAGATGTGGCTGGTGTCATTCAAGACTTCCTGGTGCACCACCATTGAACAATGCAGGACAGAAGTAGGAAACAAAAGAGGTGCAGCCTCTCAGCAAACCAGCTCTCAGCTCCCGTTTTAGCTTCCTATGAGGACCATGTTTGTGTTTTTTGGTATTAATGACTCCTGCCTCAAAATGTAGGAAGTTAATAGAATTATGTGCTTGCTTGACATCTATGAGGATAATCAGGACCAAATGTTTAACTGGGAGCACCGATCAGCATTTGCGCTTGAAGGCTGCTGGTCAGCACAAAGGAATTCTTCAGGGGCAACATTTCTTGCCATAACCTCAGTCCAAAACAAACAAGCCTATTAAACCTATCTGCCTCCCTTGAGTCCAAGGAAATGGACATGAAACATTAAAGTCCTGAATTCCTGTTTTCGTAACTGCAGAACCTGGATGTGTCACATGGAGATACCTAGTAAAAGAAATCCTCTAAATTAATGTTCCAAAAGAGTGACTGAGCTAATATTTTTGCACATGAAAAAATGGCCATGCTTCTGTAAGATCTGATATCAAAATTCTGTGTAGAGCAGTATCTTTGGAGAAGCAGCCAATGTTGGGGTCTCAAGATCTTTTTGCAGCTATCTCTGCAAGCTGCAGTCAGTCTTGGAGAGTGTTTACTGCAGGATCCTTGAAAATGGGAGTTAGAATGGCAAACCACTTTCAAAATACTGTCAAGAAATCTACAGGAACTAGTCCAGGCAGTTACCAGGAGTCAACAAGGACTCAAAGAGCACCCCCATGCACACACACGCACACACAAATCTTGCTTATAAAAGCCCACATTTTAGGTAAGATTGTCTCCTGCGTTTCTGCAGTCTTGATATGCATTTCAGCTGCTATTCGGTTTCTATTTTCCCTAAGACGTTACTCTGGCAAAAGGCAGAGGCAGCAAACAGATGCCATTCCATTCACTTACTTGTAACTTCTGTTTATAACATATATTCCCAACCCCACTAGTGTTTGTCAACCCCACATAGCACTGTGCCATTCACTCCAAGAGCCTCCAACAGGAAGGTAAAGCAGTATTATTGCACTTCCATTCCACTATTGCTCTGCCCCTTTTGTATATGCACCCTAACATCACACACTGGTATGAAATGAGTGGAACTTGTATGATTTTGACAAAAACTGTGGATCTTGCACACCCACACACATCCTGCCATATTTTTTCCAATTAGTTACATTCATGTTTATGTGGTGATATTGAAGGAGCAGGACACAGCCATCAGTTGAAGAAGAAATTCGATAAAAACCAAAACTTCCTGCAGAGAAGCACGACATACTCCTGTTGCTATTCACATGTATCAAGACACTTTGCAGTATATTGATGCTTTCCTGAGGCTCAATTTTATGTTTCCCCAAATGCATATAAATGCTTTATCACAGTCGTCTTTGCATAATTTCCTGCCAGAATTGTTCAGCCTAATTTCCTAAGGAGAGTTCATGATAAAGAATGACATGTGTACCTAAGGCTTGTGAATTCCCAATGCATTCTGAAACAGGTAGGATAAAATAATTGCACCTAGATTCTCAAGGGCTTACAAGATCAACATACTTTAAAGTGAGATCCGTTTTCTGGAGTTTTAAACACTTCTTTTTTCGACCCACCTCTTCTACTCATAAGTTATTATTAATGCTGCCACACTGATGGAACGTTTGCATACAACTTTTGATTTTTAAGCAACTTCTCTCTTTAGATCGGTATTTTTCAACCTTAGCCATTTTAAGATGTGTGGACTTCAACTTCCAGAATTCCCTAGCTAGCAAGCTGGCTCGGGGATTCTGAGAGTTGAAGTCCACACATCTTAAAGTGGCCAAGGTTGAGAAACACTGCATTAAATAAACAACTGCTTATTATTTAACAGAGTCCAAAAATGAACTTTGCACAGAGATGTAAAGTATCCCAAAATTTCTTCAGAAAGCCTGCAATTAAAGCCCTGCCCCTTTTTTCTCATATATGGGACAGAGTTCCAATTACATGGTAAAGGCCTCCATTTTGATTTTTTTAACCCACCTGGTGGATGCTCCTATCACATTTGTTTCCTGATGTCCTTTCATTGGACATTCCAATGGAGCTGCTTGAGTTACTCTGCTTGTTCCTACTACAACTGCCTGGTCTTTTTAAACTGTTTCTGCTGCTGGATTTTTACTAGATTCCATTTCTCTGGAGGGTTTATTTTCCAAATTTAACATCTTCTCTAAATCATGTTAATGATAACTAACAAGACTTAAAACCAAGGTTCAGTTCTACAAGTGTCTTAAGTTGTTTTTGCTAAAGGCTGACTAAAACAAACACTCAACATCTGCTTTGAGACTGAACACCGAACTCAACATCTCAACAACTTCTGAGCAGGTAATGAACATGTATTTATTAGTCAAAACATAACAATACCAAAAGAATATGTAAAATAAATATATTAAACCCCAAAACAATATAACACCTGGTGTCACATCCTCTGGAAAAGATCTGTTTTCAATTTTTTCCAGAAGGTAGGTAACGTTGGGGACAAACTAACCTCCAATGGGAGGCCATTCCAGACAGCTGGGTCCATCACAGAAAAACAGCATTTCCAGGCTTCCTTACCCCGTAACCTTCTGAAAATGGGGACAACCCGTTGTTTCTCCAAAGAAGATGCAGTCCTGTAGGTAAGCTGGTGCCAAGCCATAAACTGAATATATATACGCACACACAGACCTCCCTACACACAAATCCATTCCTTAGATGGGGACAACCTGCAGATATGCAGGTTAGGTGCAATATAATTGGAATATACCGAAGAAGAAACAAACCATAAGCAGCAGTGTGAGCAGGATGGGATGAACTCTGGAAAAAAGCAATTCTACAACATGCCAAAGAAATCTAAAGATAGTTCTGTGACAGGTGAGTATGGGCTGCCTTTTATCTCCCTGTTAGCAGGCAGAGGCCCAATCCATACTGCTATAGACCCAAGATGAAATACATTAGAAGGACTTATGGCCTTAGCCATGGTTGCAGCAACTCTATTGGCTAAGGCACTGGGAGGAAGAAAGCAAGGGCGAACTACTTCTTCACATACACCACAAAAACTCACAGAAAGAAACTCAACAAGAAAGAAAGTCTAGTCGATAAAATATGGCACTGGAGGTAACTAATTGGCCACTGAGGAAGAGCAAAGAGCTCTAAGTCTAGGCAGTCTGATGCAACTAGAAGAAAAGTTTGGAGCTTGGTGAAAACCCTTAGGATGGGAACAGTATCAACTAAGAAAACTAGTATATTGTCAAAGCAGAAATAACATGGACTGGAATAAAAAATCAAGAGTCTGCTAGCACCTTTTCTGGCTAACTCGTTTTATTAAAAGGCACAAGTTTCCATAAGCTCCATCAGATGCATAGAGTACATCTATTAGTACACACATAGAGTACTAATGCAGGATTTCAGCTGGGGGATGATGGGGGAAAATGGAGGGAAGAAAAGGTGACTATGCAGATCACACCTGAGAAAGATCACTACTACCTTATCAATAAACCACTGGGTTTATTGAGACCTTCTGAGATGGCCTGAAACCTTTTGAGATATGCAGGTTCACCAATCTCTTGCTCCCTTCCCCCACCATACCCCAATTTAAATCCTACACCAATCTAACCACTCTATGCCTCTGACAAAGTGAGCTCCAGCTTTTTATAACAGAAACTGTAGGTGTAAGTGAAGTAAAATGGACAGGACTTGGACAATTCCAATCACATGAATTCAATTTTTCTATTCGGCATATGAAGCTCACAGAAAAAAAATGCGGTAGCAATTATTGTCCCAGCTTGTGTAATGGGACACAACACAGTTAATACAAGTTCCTCTCCAACTTCACATTTCTAGGACAGCTGACAGACAGACAGACAGACAGACAGACAGACAGACAGACAGATAGATAGATAGATAGATAGATAGATAGACTTTCATCTATTTGACTGAAGAATTCATGAATCAGCTCTGATTGCAATGGTATAGAGACATCTCTCTCTCTCTCTCTCTCTCTCTCTCTCTCTCTCTCATCTAAATTATATGTCACCACAATCACAGGACCTCTTGGTAGCTAATAAAATAAGAAAATGTAAGAAAATATAAAAGCATATCAAAACATAATAACAACAACAACCATCTTTAGAATTCATTGCTAAAATACTGAAATTAACAAACACATTCTTCATAAGCACAATGGCACGCCATACGAAAAGGATTTATCTATAATGCGGATTGTTCATGAGGCCTCTTGCAGATGTATATGGAAATATGCAGATAATTAAACACGAAGAAAATGCAGATAATTTCAGGATCACAGTTGAAAAACACATGCTTAAAATCTCTCATATGTATTGTGTTAGAAAAAGTCTCTTAGTCTGATCAGTTTCGTTTAGAAGTTAAACATTGAGGTGCATAATATCCAGACATCCATATATGCACCAGATGTTTATATTCTCAAGAGAAGTCTTCCAACTTTGCTTTACGTGTTAACAGCTAGCATAAAAATAACACCTGTTAGACAAGGCATGTAACAATTGCTTCTCGGATTTTTGCTACTTCAATAACTTGTTGATAGACTGACTCATATGCATTGCGCAGACTGCATGGGAAAATTCAGCATTTGCTAGACAGATGCAAAACCCTTATATTCTCTTACAGCTGAATCAGTGGTGTATTATACTAGTTTCCTCTATTTTCAGGAATGTCAGAATACCTGAGAGCCATGAAGGATTTTTTTTTTCCTTTTAAGAAGACTGGGAACAATGCAACCATTGTTATAACCCACACACACACACACACACACACACACAACAGCTTTACGGAAAGCTTTTAAAGACTGTCTGGTGCTTTATTGGAAGTGCAATCTGGAATATGTTCCAGATCAAAAGCAAGCAGATGGAATCTGAAGAGCAGTGAGCCATGGCTCTTAAATAATGAGAGGCAGAATTCCCTTTCCCATATGATCTGGGCAAAGGGATCTTCATGTGCTTCTCAGGACTTAGAGGAGTGCTTGGCATGGCCCAACAGCCCATCTTATCTGCAAAGGAAAGGTCAAAGCAAATAAAGCTCTTCAAAGGCTGATTTGCATGAAGCATCAGCCTTGTGTTTTGGGGTTCCTGCTCCCAGAAAAGGCTAAGTATATGTACTCTTTACCCTGAAGATGCTAAATGTATAAGCATTGATGGTGGGACTGGGGAAGCTTTGAGACCACAAGGGATGAGCTGGTGACAACAATTCTCCAACAATTGGATATGGACTATTTTATACATATATCACATGTGTCAAGTGTGAAGATACTGACAATAATAGAAGACAAGACTTTATAAAATAAACCTAGGTTATCATGCAATACAGCACAGACAGGATCATAATGAGTTTACTGACATTTGGGCTTTGGAAGAGAAAAATGTTTCAAGAAAGCATCTGAGGTTAAACTCACCACATGTTTTAATTGAGCAAAACTCCCAGGGGGTGTTTGGGTCAAGAGTGTAACACCATGGCCTCGGTTTACTATCCGGATTGCGGCAGTAGTTATCATCAAAGCCTTTGTCAGGGTATCTGCAAGCCACACCAACAAGCACGTTAACTGAGTCAGCTGCCAAGAGAAGTCAAGCAGATGCAAGATACGTTCCCAATGACCTCCAGCCTAGAGAAGAGTCCAAACGCCTTTGCTACTGATTGCCTACAGAAGTAGGAGGAATATAGCCATCAAAACAGTCCTCAGCAGAAATAATATCTTGACAAGAACCCATTTTGGTATGATGTAGAACATCCAAAAGGGTCAATCTGCTGATTTCTCCCCATTAGTGCCCAGTCTGACACAACAGCCTTAATTTGCTTCCTTTGGATGGCCCAATTAAGTGTGGACAATATAAACATTTCATGGCATGGTAGACTCATTAAGCAAATGGATTCTTTAGTTCAATAGCCCTGGGTTCAAACCGAAAGCTATTTTCAACAAACTCCGCTCTATTTTTAGAAGCCAGCGTTTGTAGAGGCCATGACCTCATTTCCAGCACTGTGAGGGGAAAAAAGTCAAGAAGAAATTAAATTTCCCTTTGCCCTCCTTTATCTTGTCAGAGTTGTTGTTGTTTCCCCCCTGCTTTTAATTACTTCGATACTCTTTTCCTAGTTATTGCTGAAGGAAATCAAGGGGTGGTAGAGTTACAAGACAATAGCAAGCTTCTTGTATGAATAGCATTTCATCATTCATTTAGAACTAATTGTTTGTTTGTTTTACATTTATTACTTCTGGTCTGCTGGTAGGTGAAGATTAGATTTTTAAAGGAAGGCACATAGGAACTACCTTTGACCTGGAGGCCTTTGGGAACTTCTACAGATGTGGTCCTCACAGGAGGATCAAAACTTGATTTACAGTTGCCTACTGAAGAAGGTTCTTTTATCCTCAGAGGTCTAAAAAAATGCCTTCCCAAAATTTGTTTGAACACTGTAGAATTCTGCTCCTTTAAGAGATGAGACTCAGCACGTTTCTTCCTTTGTAACCAGGCTAGGAGGACATGATCAGAACCTCTTCTGACACTATACTTTTGTCCCAGAACTTTTAAGCAACCAAAGCAGCTGTGCTCCAGGGATATACATGTGGCCTCAATGTTGCTGACCCATAGAAAATTATCCATTTAAAACAGTCTGTCTTTCAATAATGCAGGCTTTTATTAAATCTGTTCCAAATCAGGATTGTAGCCCATCAGTTATATCCTACTTGGAAAAGTCAGTCCCAAAATAACTTCCTTCCAAGTAAATGTGCCAGATGGAAATATCTATGAAGAGTAAAGATTATCATGAAATACAAGCAATGCCCAGCATTAAATTTGATTGCCAACTTATCTTGACAGAAGGCTGCTGCTAAAATATATAAAGACCTGGACTTACATACCTTTTCATAGATACATTCTACTGACATTTGAGTCTATGGGCTAATCTCGCCATATAATAACATATCTCGAGGTTGGCCATCATTTTGTGTTTCTTTAGACAACTTGTCATATTCCCTACTCTTCATTTATCATTTAAGGAAATATTGACTCATGCTAATTTCTAATCTTAAATAATTCCTTAACATGAGAACCAACATGTTCAGAAACAACTATCTACATGTCTCAGTTATTCCTTTCCTTAATAACTGTTACGCCTACTGTTGCACTTAATTAAGATATTCAAAATTGTAATCCTCTCCGTACTTCGCAACTGTGATCCTCAGTGATCTCAGTGGGATTCAACCACAGGCATCATGGGAAGAGTAAGGGGGCAAATGACATCATGCATGTTATGACATCATCACATTATGTAATTTGCATCTGTTACATTATCTGTGATATCATCATGGCTTCCATCAGATGCCTACAGACTCAGCCACAAAGTACATATTCCCAGGGCCTGACTGCAAATGAAGTTGGTTGAGATCCCTGTGAAATGCATTCATCTTCTGTGTATGCAAAGTACAGGATTAACATTTGTTTTTTTACCTTTTTTATGGTTCCCACTCTTTTATTTCAATTTACATTTTGTGTTAAAGTTGAGTAATTTTTAAAAATTTTCCTTTTTATATAATTTTATTATTTTTTTATATAATTGAGTAGATTTCATGCTTCCCTTTGGTTCTCATTATTCCTAGATTCCAGAAAGAATAATTAATCTAAGGCCTCCTCCTTCTTTTGCTACTTAAGCTGCTATCTAGTTAGTCACTGCAATAGGATAGTCAGCCAAGCATAATTGATACTTCTTTAGTGAGTGAAATTTAAAGTGTGCACTGCTGAGGTCAGCCCAAATGATAATCCACCAATACAAGAACTTAAAATAAATGTTCTACAATCTACATTAATTATTAGGATTCAGAACATGTTTTTTTTTTTAATTTGCATATCCAGAAAATACACTTTCTGCCAAAAGACAATTAGCAATGGTAAATCACAGATCATAAGCAAAAGACGCAAGCAATTTTAATTTGTGCAAATGTGTCTTTCCAACCCTCTTCTGCCATCAGGAATGCCTACAGGAGGAGTCAAAAAAGTCAAGATGGAAGCCACAACCATTCAGTCAAAGCCCTGGGTTACATGTAAAAAAGGGCAGGGCATGGTTATAGCTGCCACCTTGACTGTTTTGACTTCAGTGCAAATTCTCTTGCCCGCAATAAAACCTTGTTATCACCCTCCCTATATTAAACTAGAAAAACCAATACCATCTGCTCTCTTAATTTAGGATTGGGTAAATTGGTTGTAAGAGAGAGAAATATTAAATGCCCTCAAAAGATTCCTGAGTCTGAACTAAGCAAGACTGTCTCTGTTGTACCAGATACTCCAATTGTGACTACTCTGCTGCCCTTCAGTTCCAAAAAGGTGCTCCAGAGGGTGCAAAAACACAAACAAAGCTCAGCAGCTCTTGAAAGCAACTGCATCTTTTTCACAGGCACATGGTCTGCACACAATCACAGGAAAAGACACGGCTGTTTTAAAGAACTTTTGGAAGAAAAAGCAAAGCAGAGCAAGGACGACAAAGATTTTCCTCAAGTAAGAGGGGGTTCTTCAGCTTATTAAAGTATCGATGTGCTTTATTTGATTCATGGTTTGGCCTTACCTTCATTGCATTGGCTTTTTGGTAGTTAAAACAAGCAGGCAAAATGCTTGTCTGTCTGTCTGCCTGTTTGAGTATGTCTAAGTCACAAGTGTATTGTGTTTCCAATGAAGCTGTAATTGTTCAAAGTTACCAAAAAATGAAGATAGATGGATCCTAGGGTATGACATAAACTTTCTGCTCCTCTGCGCCTGTCCCAATTACTCATTTCTGTATTAGTATTATTAAAACTTCTTGGCATTACTGTTTCTCCAGACCACTTGGAAGCTAGAACCTATAGCTCTCATTGTTTATTTCCTTCATGAACATGCTTATCCACTTTTAACTCCCAATCCCGTTTCAGGTTTTACTTAACCCAAATCTGTACTAAAGAAAACAGAAGTGTTAATTAAAGGTCCCTGCAGCGTGATGTTTCAAATTCTCAGATTTTGGGGGATGTTTCACCCAAAATTGCAGATCCCAGTGACATCACCAATACCCTTGGAGTGCACGATTGCAGTGCACAACCCAGCTTCGCTGGCCTAGCTACGTCATAAGTTCCCTTCTTTTACAAACTCTTCCCACAGATTATTTTCCCCTCATCTAATCCACAACATTCTACTTATCTACTTTGCAGTTCAGCAGCAAAGCTTTCATATTAATTTTCCTATCACCCTGCTAAAGTCAGCTCTGTTCAGCCACTGTGGTTGAGTACCGACAATGTTTTGCCCTGTTCAGAAGGTGGTACCACCAAACTTTCATTGTTGCTCTTTATATTTAATGGATTTTATTTGTCTTGATTTGATTTATATACTATCTTTTGTACAGGACCTCAAGATGGCAAACTTAGTGCTCCCCTCCTCCTATTTTTCCTCACAATAACAACCCTTTATGGTAAGTTGGCCTGTAAGAGAGGGACTGCCCCCAAATAATTTGCTGAGTTTCCATGGCTAGGGATAGGATAGAACCTGGATTTCCCAACTCCCAGTCCAACACCTTAACCACTATACCACACTGCCACACTGGCTCTTCCTTGCTTCTGACCTGTCCAAACCCATTTATTCATTTTCACAGTATGTAAGAAAGGAAAAGCTTGCTCTCTGAAGTAAGTTAGACATACCCCAGTTTCAGTTCAACAGTCATTGAGCTTGTAGCTTGTCATGAATTATTTCATCGGTTCTGCTTTCCCAAGGTCTGAAAGTTTCTTTCCTCTGGGGAAAAAAAGGTTCTGTTTTTCCACTTTATTTGGGGGGGGGGGAGCTTGAGAATTTATTTAAAATTTCTCTTGACAGTGCTTTTGAACTGACTTTATTGTTGGAGTTGGCCAAGGATGTTCCTACAGGAACTGCCATTTTCAATTACACATTTTCCAGATCTCCAGTGCCTGGGATTTAATGATAATGTGGGAAGTAATGAGAGATGATTGTTTAAGGAAAGACAGGTCATTCTCACACCCCACTTTGTTATCTCATAGCTAAATATGTGTAAAAACGCCACTCTTGTGAGAATGAGAACACAGCATCCATGAGAATTTTGGCAAAACTCTTCCCTGCTCTAAATGAAAACAAATTATGGAAACAAATTACTTTGCCCTAAATTTAATGGGAAGTGGTGGGAGAAAAAGCAGCCATGTTTCTACATGGCACTTATATTTAGTACATTTAGGCAAACAGAATTAACTGTTATACCAGCCTTAATATGCATTAAAATGAGACCTTTCTTGGAAATAAAATACCTCAGTTGGCAGGTGAGAAAATCTGATATTTGGGAAAGACCCACGGATCCTCAATAATAAATGCATGAATTTCACCTTGAATTTCACCTGGAAGGATCCTGATGAAACCATCATAAACTACCCCAAACATTGGTCTACCACCAGAAAAACTCACCCCATGGTTTTTTGCATCAAAGGTAACACATGGATGATATTACCATGGGGCATTATAGCTTATCTATCCAGAAGCAATTAGTGAAACTCCATATAATCTTAGAATAAGACTGTATCCTGTATTTCAGGTACCAGGTGTTAGAGGAAGAACAGGGCTAGATTTGTGTCCACATCTGAATAATGATGTCTGCCTGGTTCAGAAATAAACCAGTTGGGAAAAGGAGCAAAATATGCAAGGGTCATAGCAACTCTTAAAATTTGCTGTAGGACATGACCGACCCTGTAAAGTCATAACTGCAAGAGTTTTCCAAGTAAGTCACAATGCAGTTGGAAAGCAAAAGCCAAAGGGTAAAAAATCAGATACAAATTCCTTTATTTCTAGTTCTGTGGGCCAGCACTGACTATATAATGGTCCCCTGTGTTTGAAATTGCCAATGGCCTTTTTACTCTATAGTCTTCTCACGCCATCTCTGACTCTCACTTTGGTATTCAACTTCATGGCATGTGGAACACTGCACTTAGCCATTCATCAATACTGATTCTGCTTTTGAAGGAGGTGGGGGAAGAACAAATAAATAAATAAGTACTGATTAGACAATTTGGCATGAACATATTGTAACTTTCATAACAGAGATCTCAACATTTGACAAGATGAAAGTTGGAAGTATTTCTATAGAGATTTGTGTGAAAAGGTTAAGATCATAAATAATGAGAATCATTTCAGTATCTTCAATAAAGTGCTTCTTTCAAGTTATTTTTAAGTCCTCCTTCCTGAATCTGTGACTGTTCTCTTTCTCTTTATTTTATTAAAATCCAGCTATCTGAATAATAATTTGCCTTCATGCCTTTAATTAGACATTTCGTGAGTGCCAGCTTAAAAGAGATTTCTTTCTGGTGTACAATTAATATTAACTGTGAAAATCTTTAAGATGGAGCTAGATTACTGTGTCAAATTCACTGAGAGAAATGTATCATACAAGATTTAGCATCTGGTAGACTTCATGGACTTTATGAGATTAGATTAATAATCAATTAATAAAATAATTATAATGGATGACCATTAGCTTTGGCTTGTCTTTCGTGGATGGAAATGTACGTGGAGTTTCTGAGGATTCCACCAGTCATCTCCCCAATACACTTTTCAGACCTTTACAAAATAGTATTTCTGATTCAACTCCTCCTTTTATTTGTTTTCATGGTGAAAGTCCATTTCTCAGCTAGTTGAAAGAGCTGGTTTCAAGCTTGACTTGGGACTGCATTTAATCTTGTCCAAAAACTAAGTGCTTTTTTTTAGATGCCCATTATTAAACATTCAACTAACTTGGGGAACCTTTTCACTGGTCCCCAGTTACTGGATTGATCAATCAGTGTTCATTTGATCCTTAATTTTCTAAGGGGATTTTTCACATAGCTTCATTGGTACCTAATAAGTATCCTCCTTAGATTCTGCTGATGATATTTTGGTAGTTTTCACAGTTAATGTTTATGATTTTCATTCTCATGGGAAAGGATTCATCCCGTTATCTTTACAACAATAAC